GGACGGATAGATGGATGGACGGGTGGATGGATGGATGGATGGATGGATGGATGAAGCGTGGCTGCAGCGGGAGAGTGAGGGGCAGTGGAGGGGTGCAGGTAAGGCGATGGCCTCCTGGAGGAGGGGGCGGGGGCGGGGAAGAAGGGGTAGGGGAATGCTCACCTTGGAAGAGGGGACAGATCTTCCGCCAGGCTGTGACACTCCCCTGGCTGGTGTACTGGCCGAGCGCCACCTCCAAGAAGAATACTGGGATGCCGCAGGAGAAGAAGAAGATGAAGTAGGGAATGAAGAAGGCCCCTGTGGAAGGGGAGAGAGGTGGGGTGAGCTGCGTCCTCAGCCTCTTTCCGTTTCCGCCCTGGGCCGCTCTCCAGGAGACCTTTGCTCCAGCATGCTCATCTGTAACCTCCTTCCTCACACCTCCCAAGGACCTGAGCCAACTTCCCTCGGATCTGCAAGCCAGTCAGGGGAGTTCGTTTAGGTGCTGAACCCCACTGAGGATGGGAGGGACCCGTTGAAGGAAAATGAATGAAGACTTAGGTGCACATCTTCAGAGATGCCCTGTTTCTTTTCTGAGTGTGCTTTATAAACCCAGTCAGTTTATTATTTTTGGAACCAAAACATGTGTTAGGTATAATGTGATGCATTCATTAAATTCTGTTTGGCACATTTAGAGAAAAAAACAAACAAGCAAACAAAACCACCTTAGAATATCATTTTTCCCTCTCCTAATTTTCACAGGGAGCCCCTGGGCCACTCAAACAGCTCAGCTGCTAACAGAAAAGTTGGAGGTTTGAACCTACCCAGAGGCGCCTGGGAAGGAAGTCTGGGTGACCAGCCACTGAGAGCCCCGTAGAGCACACCTCTCCTCTGGGTTAAAACTGACTCAATGGCAACTGGATTGCCTGGTCCTACACTTCAGGGGGCCTCCCCTCTTCTACCAGGCTCTGTTCAAAAGAGGGCTACCAGCAGAGAGGGTTAGTCCCTTTGAAGGTTCTCAGGAACTGAGGTGCTAGACGGTCATGTGATTCAGCAACGACCTACCCGCCCCACCACAGACCAAGCTCCAGAGACATCCAGCAAACTACCTACATGGCATTTGAAGATGACCCTCGGCCTGAGCACCCATGTCAGTAGGTGACCCTCCAACACATGCCTTATCTCAGAGGTTCATCTATGGAGCGAATGAATGATGCTTATCTATTACACTGTAAAAAGCATTCCCACGTATCTGGTGTCTACTAGGCACCAGGCACTCCTCCGAATGCTTTCTGATGGCAGCAGCACCGGGTGGATGCTATTCTCCCCATTTCACAGAGGAGAAAACTGAGGGCCAGTTTAAAGACGTGAAAAAGTGAGGCGCAGATATGGAAGCTGAGGTCCAAACCCAATACTCTGATCCCGAGTGTGTTGCTCGTGAGCATTGCATTGCAATGCCCTTCAAGGAATCCACATTAAAAAAAAAAAAAAGGAATTCACTACTTTGTAGAGAAAATAGGAGGCACAAAGAAAAAGAAAGGAAAAACATTCTCCTTCCAGGTTTGCTAGACCCACACATCTATTTCTTTCTTTCTTTCTTTGTTTACTAAACAGAGAGCCTCCTATTATTTTTAAACAGCCTTGACGTTTTCAATCTATGTCACGGAACTCCTCATATCAATAAGTATATACCTATGTATTTTCATGTTGTCTAGTGTTCCGCTGTATGTGCCTATCCTAATTCATTTAATCGGTGCTTTATCATTGGCTTCTTGATGATTTCATTTAAAACGTCACTACAATGAATCTTGTGGTCTGCATCCTTGTACATGTGTCTAATTTGGTTCTTAGTATAAATTTCCAGGAGAGACCTCTCTCCCCCAGGACTCTGTATCTATTTCAGGTCTTGGACGGGCATTTCTACACAGCCCTCCCGAATGCTTGTGCCACTTTGTACTCCCAAAAGTAGTGTGAGTAAAGAAATTTGTGAATCTCGGGGGCTCAGCAAGCCAGTAACTCGCCACCACGTCCCTGAAGTCCTCTTAAACTCCGCTTTGTCTCTACAGCCTGGGTCATACCGGAGCACCAGTAAGCAAGCCTGAGGACCCCCACGAACTCGGGTTTGAGCTGTTTGGGCGACTTCGTAGGGCTAGGCTGAGGGGTGTATGCAGGAAAAGGAGAGGAGGCGAGGCTCCCCTAGAGGACACTTTGCAGGAAATCAATGGGGCCACCTGACCCTCAGCAGGGATCGGGACCGTTTTTTCTGCCCAGGACCATTTCAATATAACATCACTCAAATTTACCCCAATGTGATAGCTGGGACGGCTTCTCTTGGGTGAGGCGTGTGATGTTAGCTGGTATCAATGATTCTGTGGACCTACTATAGCCCTGAAGTCCTTCCCACCGTCTGGGTGGAGGCCCTTCCCTCTAATGAAGGATGTGGCTTCGATTCTGTCCTTGCACTGTGGACAGAATATAGGGTACCTTCAGGAGGCTCGTGGCTGGGCCTGAGCAGGTGGGTGCTCCTGAACGGGCAGTGCCAGAGCTCTGGTCGAGTTTAGGGGCACCCTCTGTCTTGTCTAGCGCCATCTGCCTGGTTTCTTAATGCAATAATGCCACAAATGTCCTCTGCTCAAAACAACATATCAGAACCCTGGCTTTGGGAGGCTACTCTGTCCCATAATTCTTTTTGTGTCTGCCCAGGCTGTGGGCACAGGTAGCCTGGTGATCTCCCACAGAGAGCCTCAAAGAGAGGGTGACTTGGAGACTGTGGTTAGTGGAGGATCTCCCTCCCTCGGCTATACGTTATTCCTTAATCCCTCTGCCAAGTGTATTCCCAGAATCTCTGGTAATCCGGACAAGCAGTGTTTCTCCCAGTTTTATAAAATGCTCTTTGGGGATGAATTATTTCTTAAGGATGATCTAATTTAGTGGTTCTCTTTCATAACAAGACCGTGGTTTTGTTGTTTTGATTTTGCCTTTTTTGAAAGGTTTTTTCTTTTGGCTAGAGAACTGTGTTGAATGACTAGCAATGCACTGGCTAGGGGGAAATATATTAAAGTGCCAATCAGCGTTGGTATGAGTTGGTATAATTCCATCTTAAAGCAAAACTAACATTTGCTTGGTCGGTAAAACCCAATTGCCATGCCATTTTATTATGAGGTTGTTTGAAATCATGAAACTGACTCCTGGACCTCCATAATGCTCACCTAGACATCAGCCACGCCCCCACCCCCGAGAGGAACCTTGGTGACGTAGTGGTTATGCATTGGGCTGCTAACCACAAGGTAAGCAGTTCAAAACCACCATCTACTCCGCAGGAGAAAGATGAGGCTTCCTACTCCTGTAAAGAGTTACAGTCTTGGAAACCCACAGGGGCCGTTCTACCTGCCCTGTAGGGTTGCTATGAAGTTTAATTGACTTGATGTCAGTGAATGAGAAATCCTTAGAGACCAGCTACCCGATTGGGATGCCCGGCCTGTTTTAGCCCCACTCCTTCAAGGCCTGTGTTAAAGATGAAGAAAAGAAGTCATTGAGTTGGGGCAGAACGAAGGCAAGGACACAAGAGACAGAGGCAGGTACAGACCCTATACCACAGGTGTGACATTGCCCGGCTTCCACTGCCACTTCTCAGATGTCCAGTTCCAGCCTGGAGTTCATTCCACTCGGTTGTAGGCTGCTGGTCTCCTCTCCACAGAGATGGCACAGGCATGGGCCAAGCCCCTGGGCAGCACAGGTCCTCAGTGCCTCAGGCCCCTTTCCAGGTGGGATGGGGAGAAGGGAGCTCTGAGGAGCTCTGTGATCCCGGGAAGTCACCGACTCATTTGAGCCTCTGTGTCCTCCTCTCTGGAAGGATTGGTTGGACTAGGTCACTTACAACTTGAGCTCTAGCAGTCTGCACATCATGAAATCGTGGGCCTGGCACAAGAGCCTTTCTAATCTGTGCCGCTTCTTCCTGCACCCCTCCCCAAACCACTGAGCCTGCAGCGTCGTGTCAGCCCCCCACTCCCAGTCTGCACCCCACAGCCCTCCCTGCCCTGCCCCAGAAACTCTCCAGAGTCGTCAGGTCTAGCCATTTGAAATAAGAAGTGAGCTTCAGAACGCATAACATGAGACACAGTAGGTGTTCAGGAAAACTCTTGCCAGATGGGATATAAATAGTGCTTAGCAGGCTTTTCCTATACAACAGTTATCTTTAGATAGGAGCACTTCTTTTTTTTGTGTGTGCCTGTTTCTAATGTTGGCAGTACACATACATAAATGCCACAATAGTAAAGATACTTTCAGAAGGCAAATGTGGACCTGGCCAGACAAAGGACTATCTGGTTCCAATGTTTTATGAGATGCCCTTTGGAGGCAAAGCTACCGAGACAGAAGGTAGCTTCATGGTTGCCAGGAGCTAAATGAGCGAGTGGAATGGGGGCAGAGATGGTTGGGGGGCAATGAAAATGTCCTCAAACAGGTTGTGGGGATGGTTGTACAACCCCGTGCATATACAAAAGAACACCGAAAATCATTTCTAAAACTGTGCCAGGCCCCTCCCCACCATGACCCTGCCAATGGTTACTATCGGTGCCCATAATAAAAGTAGGCCTCTTTAAATGAACTCCTGTGTAGACACGGTCAGCTCGTGGTGGCTAGCACCTGGTCCGGAGCAAAGGCCTGGAACTCTGGCCCCGAGGCCTCTCGGATCTCACCCCTTCGGCCCTCCCTCTCCAGGCACACCTGCCTCCCCCTGCTTCTCAAACATGCCTTTTGCTCCTTCACCCCACAGCCTGCACCCTTGCCTGTGCTCTTCTCCCTAAGTAGCCGCCCACAAGACTTCCTTGTCCTCACTTCCCGCAGGTCTGTGCGCAGACCGGGCCTTCTTGGTGAGAGCTTTCCAAGCCCCCGGCCCTCAGCTCTGCTCCTTCCCAGCTTCCTTCCAAGCAGCTGTAATCCCCCCACACTAGACGCAAACACACAGAGTAGGTGCTGTTTTGTGCCTGGCAGTTCTTGGCACATAACAGGCCTGCAATAATATCAGTTGGGTGTAAGAAATGATTCTATCCACCACTGACATGGGTGTAGAGCAGTGGTTCTCAACCTGTGGGTTGCAACCCCTTTGGGGGTCAAACGACCCTTTCACAGGGGTCGCCTAATACATCCTGCATATCAGATATTTACATTATGACTCCTAACAGCAGCAAAATGACAGTTATAAAGTAGCAACAAACATAATTTTGTGGTTGGGGGTCACCGCAACATGAGGAACGGTATTAAAGGACATTAGGAAGGTTGAGGACCACTGGTGTAGAGCAACCAAAAAAAAGCCCCAAAAGCTCACTGCCATCCAGTTGATGCCGACTCATAGCAACCCTATACGACAGGGGAGAACACCCCCACCCCTGGGAGCTTCCAAGGCTACCACTCTTTATGGGAGTGGAAAGCCTGTAGGTGGTTTCGAACAGCTGACCTTGCAGTTAGCAGCCCCATGCTAACTGGGCTCCTAGAGCAACAAAGGTCCTTATTAAAAATGCAGGCTCCGGGGCTCTGCCCATGAGCTTGTTTGATCCTCGCCATAGCGGGGGGAGACCTCGCCGCCTGACAGAGAAGGGGAGACTGAGGCCAGTGGTGGCGCTGGAATTCAAGCTCCACTTGCCCCTTTATGCCATTTTGCTGCACCGTGCAGGCAGGAGGGCCTGGGCACAGCTGTATACCCCACCCCCCCCCACGCCTACCTCAAAGAGAACTCACCACCTCCGTTTTTGTAGCAGAGATAGGGGAACCTCCAGACATTGCCCAGCCCAATGATCTCCCCGGCCACCGAGAGCACAAACTCCATCTTGTTGGTCCATTGGCCCCGATCCTTCACCTGGTCCTCGCCTTCCCGGTCCAACTTCTCTCCCTCCTCGGGGACCCAGGAGACCACCGGTGGCCCATCCTCGTGGGTTGCCACTTCTCCGTCCATAGCCTTGCAGCGAGGCTGCGGAGCTGCGGGCGGGGCAGGATGGCGAGGGAGGCAAAATCTGGCGGAAGAAGATGTAGCTGTGAAGCCTGGGGCAGGTGGGGGGGCGGGACTCGGGCCCCAGCATCCCTGCTGGCTTCCTACCTCTGGGAAGAAGTGCGCTCTCAAAATCGCTCACATCTGCCTTTACCCTTTGTCCTCTAGCCCTGGGAGGCAAACCTCCTGAGCAAACCTTAGTCTCCCCACGCTGCAGGTGGGAGATGGCGTGAGTGACTTACCCAAGGCCCTTCAGGAGAGAAGTGGGATTTTAAACCCAGGCTGGGGTCCTTGTATTTCAAGTCCTGTGTTGTCTTTCATCCATTGGCCACTACCCCCACCATCAGCCCTGCTGCTCCGAGTCCTGGCCAGTGGCACCAGCCCAGCCTCGGGCCTCTGGCTCAGAAGGGATCAAAGGCTTCTAAGGGTGGCCTGGAGTCAAAGGGCAGGTGTGGCTGAGGTGACTGCTCGGTTGTCCCCTGCATGGCCAGTGCCAGGGGCATTGATCTCTCGGGGTAAACATGGCAGTCAGCTCGCCCTGGGCATCTGATTGGGAGGGAAAGAAGGGGGGCCTCTGAGCAAGGCCAGGTGAGGACTGGGCCTGGAGCCAGGCCAAGCATGGGCCTTTGAGGAAAGCTGGGTTCCCTGCCTCTGCCCTGAGCACAGGCAGAAAGCATCACTAGATTGGGGTGGCAGTCACCTCCCGGCCATGGGTCACTGCCCTCCCCAAGTCTCAAGCCTCCTGAAGAGGCCCAAACTCCCAGGACTGCCAGAAAAAAATGACTTGGGTCAATTTCACTTTTACTCTCTGTCCCTCTCAAAAGCAGAGCCTCATTGTCTGTTTGTTGATGGCCTAGGGATAAATTCCCAGCCCAGCCCATGTTTGCCTTCCCTCCCCTCTCACACAAACAACACACCCCAGGCCACCTCTGCCTTTACATCCAGTGAGCTGGCAGGAGGAGGAGCCCCGGCTGTCAGGAGAAGCACCTATCCCAATGCCCCTCACCTCCTGGGGACTGTGGGTGCCAGAGTCTACCAAGGACTCCCTGCACCTCCTCCGAGGTGCTAGAGAAACACAAGGGATTCCTTTTATTAGGGAAGAGCCTGTGTTTGTTTGTTGGTCCTTTTACCCCAGGCAACAGCCCAAGCCCAAGTCAGTTAGAAAAGCTGTGGGCAGGCGTCATCTGAGGTTATGGAAAATTTTGAAGGTGACTTAGAGGGTACAGGTTATCCCAGGAGTGGCAAATCTGTGTGTCCGGGTGAAATTCTAGTCTTGGGATCTGCTCACAGGCTTCTGTGTGAGCTCAGCCCAGAAGGCAGGGGGGAGGTGGGCACCCGGTGGGGAGCAAAGCCCTTGTGCCTCAGAGACAGAAGGACGGGGAAGGAGTGGGCAGGAAGGGAGGAAGCAGCCATGTCCTATGGGGCTTGAAGACCCAGCGCCGAAGGTTGAAAGAACAGGGGAATAGGGAGTCGGTAGAAAATTGTGATACCTGAACCCCAAAAGTTGTTGCTGCCATGGAATTGGGGCCAGGGCACCCTGAAAGAATGCCCCCCTCCCTGATCATTATCAAGTAAATAAATGAAGGAAAAAACATAGATGAAAAAACACCAGACAGGAGACCCAAGTTCTAGTACAGACCCAGTCAGTAGTCATAAGAAAAGTTAACCATCATATGTGTTAAAAAACAAAAACAAACCATACAGGTCTTTACATATATTAATCAATAGCACCCTTTTCTGCCCCGTGTGATAAAATGAGGAAACGAAGCTCAGAGAGATCAGGGGGCAGCAGCAGTTGGCAGGTGCTCGGTCAAACCAGTTTTGAGTGGTTTGACTCCACTTACCAAGGCAGTGAACGGTAGAGCGGGGGTCTCTATTGCTGGGTGACTTTAGGCAAAGCACACCTCCTCTCTGGGCTTGAAGTTTTCCTGGAAGAGACAATGACCGCGGCTCAATGAGGGCCTTGGTCATTGTGTGACGCTATGTCGATGCCCACTCATAGTAAAACCCTGTAGGGCAGAGCAGAACTCCCCGTAACGTTCCTAAGGCTGCTGCCCTGATAGGAACACATGACCAGGCTCTGAACCTTCCCGGAGCCACCAACCTTTAACCACGGCATCACCAGGCTCCTTAACAAGGCATGGGGGTGAAGGGGCGATTAAAATGGGGTTCGTGATGTGAAGGACAGTTGACTGCCCAGGCAGCTCAGCTCAGGCCAAGCCCCAAACCCAAGGGTCCCCTGGAGGGTGGTCAGTACCCTAGACTGTCCCCAGCCAAGGCAGCTAATTCAGGGCTAAGGCGTTCTCAGCAGGGGGAGGAGGAGAGAGTCTGTGGGGAAGTGGAGGCAGTGAAGGAGAGAGAGGGGGGCTGAGGGAGGGGAGTGGGGGCCCAGGGAAGTAAGTTGCCCCATTCAGAGCTAGGACTGAGGTGGCAGGGGGCTAAAGGAGGAGGGAGGAGCACAGGAGTTGATGGACTGCCGTAGAGGTGGTATGTTGCAAAGGGGAAGAAATCTGGCAGGCAGGAGCATGAGTTCCTGGCAAGAGTGAAAAACCAGAATGGAGAATGACCGCCAGGAGCAAGAGCAAGAAGAAAGCTGGTCTGGAGCCATGGTAAGCCAAGGGGAACTAGCCTATGTTGCAGCAAGAGAGATTAAAGCTAGACTCCAGGAAGAAATGTCCTGGAGGACATTAGACATAAAAACAAATTGTGTGGAACTCTCTTTTTGAGGTTCTTGAAAAATTGAAACAACTGCCCCCCACCCTTCTAGCACACCCATTCTTCCCCCCTGCAGATCCCCATGCCCCTAACCCACTTACTAGAAATGGGTGAACAAGTCTCGTCCACAGTCAAGAGATCGCCACCTCTGGGGATCTCTTCCTGCCCCTGGGCCCTCCCAGCTCTGCCACCTGTTGTGCTAGGCTGGAGCAGGGCCTTGGGGACACAGGGTGACCCTCCAGCAACCACACTGGGCTCTGTGCTGCCCACTAAGGGAACCCCCAGCCGACCAGAAAGTCCCGTTAACTGTTCGGCAGCGGGCTGGCCAGGGTTAGCAGAGGAGCAGAAAAACGGTAAAAATAAATGCTGTTCCCGCCACAGCTGGGTGGGGGGTGTCCCCCTAAGTCCCCTTTAGCTGCTTAGTCCAGCACAGCCCCGACCCAGCCCCTGAACCCAGCAGGGACAGGGCACCCAGCTCCTGCTCAGCCCACGCCTACATACCGTTTCCCATTCCCGCACACGCGCCATGGCCGATCCCAGTCACGTCCCCCTGCACACACATACCTGTGTGCACGGCTGCAAAACCGGACGCCGGACCCAGTCCTTCACACCCCTTGAGCTCGCCGGTGACTGCCTGGGCCTCCCTGCAGCTCCAGGCTCAACCCCTGGCATGAGCATGTCCAGGCCTCCCTGCCACCTCTAGCAGGAGAGTCCCCTCCCTCTGGAAGATGCTCCTCTCGGCCCCCTGCACGCACATGCCTGGCTGGGGCCGCGGGAGCCCCTCACCTGGGATCCGACAGGGCAAACTCAGGGCCCTCAAGAATGCCCCGAGATTTCTCCTGCCCACTCCCCTCCCCACCCCGCCCTACCCCCCACATCATGGGCACCGGGTGCTTCCTCCTCCCTCTCAGCCAGGAGGTCTCCCCTCTCTTACCCATTCCCTGTGGCCAACTCCCCCTCTAGGACTTTTCTGCCACCCAGGCTTATCCTGGAGCAACTCCGAGGCTGTGGACACTGAGGCTGGAGCTGGGCTGATGCCCAGCTCCTCACAGTCCAGAATGTTCCTCTGGCCTCAGTTCCTCTAGCTCTGCTTCCCGCCGCAGCCAGCCACACACATTTCCACCATGTCTTTCCTCCTGGATGACATGCCTCTAGCCTCCCCCTCTGGCTCACCGCAGACCCCCGCTCTGCTCCCGAGGTCGGTTCAGCTCCATGCATCAGGTCCCAGGAGAGCTCCCGGGGAAGCCGCTGGGAGAATGCCAAGAAGGGACACTGCCCTTCACCTTCACGTGCCGCCCAACTCCCAGACACAGCACAGCTGTGATCCTGGGATGGCCAGAGGGAGCCTGGGACGTGTGTGTGTGTGTGTGTGTGTGTGTGCGTGCGCGCGCCCACGTCAGTCTGTTGGGAAGTGAGAGGGTAGAGAAATGCCACAAGCAACAGGAGGGACTGAAGCCAAATGTTTGTGGACCAAGATTACAACATCCAGCTTAGGAAGTCAGGTCCTCGGTCCCCAGGTGCCCCCACCCCCACCCCGCTCCTACTGCGGCCCCACCTCCCTCCAGACCAGGGTTCCCCTTCAGTAGGGGTTGAGCTGGGTTGAGCTGCTCCCTTGGGCAGGGGAGGGGGCTCACAGACTCACATGACAACCTCTTCCCCCCTCTCCCTTACTCCTGTTTTTCCCCCCTCTCCCATCCTCAGCCTGCCTCCCTCCCAAGACCTTCTCCTTCCGAAACAAGGACAGACAGGGTGTACAAGACACACTACAGCCCCCTAAGCTCTTACCGGAGCAGCAGGAAGGGACCCATCAACTCCCAGGCTGGAATCCGAGGACCTCAGGGAGGGGTTGCTGGCCTCCCTAGAGAAGGCCAGGGAGGAGGGTGAATCATCCTGGAGTTTTCCACCAAGTACCTGCCCTCTGTGGCTTCAAGGCAAGACTCTGAGCCTTTGCCATGGGATTTTCCTTTGGCGGGCACCCTGAGCCTATCTCAAGAGGTAGCATCCAGAAAGGGCATGTGGGTTGCAGTCAGACAGACCCAGGTTTGAATCCCTCTTCTGTCATTGACATGGTGGGGTAAGGGAGGCAGGGGCGTTAGCTAAGGGTACCTACTTTGCAGGGCTGCTGTGAGGGGGAAAGACCATGTGGTGACTTGCTGGGGACAGAGCAGGGACCAAAGGAGGAGGGAGGTGAAGTGTTCGCGGTGGGTCCTTGGGAAGCAGGGGTTCGGGTCGTGGAGGGTCTGATCCCAGGGCTCTGATCACCTCTCAGCAGCACAAAGGCACATAGCTCATTACAAATAAATAGCTCACGGAGGCAGACGGAGGCTATGGGATTTGTCCCAAGTTCGTCTAGCTAGTAAGTGATGGGGCTGGGATATGAAGCTGGACCTTCTGGCTCCACATTTCTCAGCAGACTGTTACCCAGCTCTTGGATGCCCAGGGGGTAGGGGGCAGATCTCAGGTGTCCAGGGGGCAGGGGGAAGATCTCGGGCGTTTCATTTCCAGTGGCGAGCTGGTGGTAAGTAAATGTATGTGCCCCATGCGAGAAAGAATCTCCACAACAGGGCCCCCTCACTGCCCCCTGGGCTCACCCCCATGGTGCAGGGCTCAGGCTCGCCCCCCGACCATTCCCGAAGACCATGAAGAGATGAAGACACCTCTTCTGGTGGTGCGGAAGAAGGGAACGTTGCAAGAGGAAAGGAAAATTCCCCTTTACATGTGTTTCCCCTTTGGGGTTTCGGACTTCCCCTGCAGGGCTGGGGTGTGGAGTGACTCCCAGTCTGTAGTTTTCCACCCAGCAGCCCCACTCCACACCTCTGGGGTCCCTCTCAGCATCTCCTGTGAGGTCCCCAGCAAGAGAAATCCAAAACGAGGCTCTCTGACCCATTGTCTCTGCGACCCCCCCAAGGCTGTCAGATTAGGGTATGGCCCCGGCCAGGATTCCCAGCTGCTACCCTGCCCTGTCTCTGCGCGGGGTCCACCAGGTGTAGACCCCAGAGGGGATGTCCAAGCCCAACCATGCTGAGCTATAGCTATTCCAGAACAACAGTCAGCCTCTCCAGGAAGGAGACCCGAAGGCAAGGAGCAGGCATACATTCTGAAGGCACTTACTTAGTGCTGACAAAGTGTCAGGCTCAGCGCTAGGACCGAGGGGTGCAGTGGTGACCACCATGCAGGCCTCACCCTCAGGGCCAGCAGGATCTGCCTCCTCTGCTTCACCTTGTAGGAGAGTGCCAGTGGCCATAGAGTCTGTGGTAGTTACACCATCTGATGTCAACTTGAGACTATGAAGAGGTGTTAGTCTGGGTACATTAGGGAAACAAATCCACAGAAACGCATATGTATAAGAGAGTTTATATAAAGGGTAAGTACATATCAAGAAAACATCCCAACCCAGTACTGCCCAAGCCCACAAGTCCAACATTAACCCATATGTCCAACACCAAT